AGGCATCACTCACCTGGCAGGTGATATGAAAGGCCCTATGGGTCAGCAAAAGACTTTGTTCAGCAGGCTTGGAAAAATCTCCAAACTGTGTTAGCTGTACTGAGTTGGTGGAGACTCTGGGTCACACCTTCTTCCACTGAAGGGTCATAGTCCCGTTGTGCAAATTTATTGAAGATATTATGGTTTGCATGCTATGTGGAAAGTTCTTTGGCCAGTTCTGTTTAGCAATGTGGTACTGTCATTAACTAAGAGTGAGCACTATGTGTTCTTTTGCTTGCTAGGCATTATGAGAGTCGTGATATGGATGATGGGACAGAAGGAATTCTATCAGGACAAGATGTTTACTTCTTCCCAACTGATCTTGTACTTTAAGCATTAGTGATGACTCCCTCCATCAGAATTTGGCAAAAGGTGGGTGAGTCTTGTGTGTCTGTGTTGAGTGAAAGGAGCTGACTTGGAGTGGCATTTTAATGCTGGTTAGACATCAGGATATTGGGAAATCTGTGTTGAACATTGGTAACCCCACCCAAATAGGGTAGTTTAGGTTTGTTTTATCCTTAGTTTCCTCCATCAAGTTAACTTAGCTAGGGGATGTATACTCATTCACCTCTTTTATTTCTGTTCCTACTTTCTTTAGTTTAATTCCCCCTCTCCTCCGCCGTTAGGTGACAGAGATATCAGTTCTCTGGTAGATGTGGGGCCTTTTTTGTTATTCGAGTGTGCTTTTCATATTTGTTTTGTGTTTGGATAATTAATTGAATGATTGCTATTAATTACCTAGTCCTGCATTAATTTCATCCAGTTAACTGCCACAATTAAGGACTGTGGTAGATTTTATTACTAACACTAATTTGTTTAGTTTCTTGTATATAAATTGTATTCATTGTAAATATTCATTGAGGTTTCATTTTTAAATGTCATTTTATCTCCCTCCCCAGACAAATTTTACATATGGGAACTAGTTAGGACTACATAGAGACTTTGAGGTATTATGGTGACTGTAGTAAGCATGATAAGTAAGAATTTATTGTTTTGGTGTAAGGAATACTGTGGTATATTTGGGTCAGTAATTGTTACTAAGTTTAAAATAAAACAGATTGAAGACCTGCCTCCTCCACCTTTGGCCTTGTGCCACATTTTTGCATTATGTAAAATAAATATTATATTTTTCTATTGTCTGGTGAACTGCTGTCACTCAGTTTATTATGCAAGATCCTGTTTTACTAAATATTATAAACAGGATCCCACTTATAAAAATGGTAAAATGACAAATGTCATGCTTTCAAGAAAGTCTTGAAGAAAGTGAATGTTAAAATTAAATTATGATGAAATCTCTTTAAAAAAAAATGTGGGGGACAACTAGGGTTTGTTACTATTTATTTATTTATTTTTTTTTAATAAATGAGAGATCACCTACTGCTGTCAGTTATTTTGTTTCATAAGTTTGACATCATTTCCTTTATTGCAAGATGAATCCAATGATCTTTTTTTAATACAAGAATTCAAGTCTAGAGCCTCTCAAGGTAGAAGGTTACTGAATGAGGAATGTAATATGAATGAAAAAGAGAGGTGGTAGAAAGTGAAGATTATGAGGATAAATAACAATTGATCCATAAAAAGGTTAAGATTGAAGTGTTTAAGAAAGCACTCTCATGGGAGTCCATTCCACAAAGTTGCAATTGGGAAAAAGTTGTCTAAGTTGAACTTTTTTCTTATACTTGGAACATGGGGTAAATGAGGATGTTTCACTTCTGTGAAAGTAGCATGGCTTGTTCTATCTGTAAAGGTTACTGTATAAAAACAATTAATCTCCAGTCTTGATTCAAGGAATCTGTAATACAACAAAGATTCAAATAGTTTGAACTAATATCCCTATCTTGTTATCACACTTTTGGCTAATAAGTATACTAATCAGAAAAGATGATACAATGAAATAATGAACACTTCTGGACAAACATGGCTGCAATAAGATGTAGTATGAAATGGATGTTTTTTCCAGTGACACCACTTTCTTAAATACCTTCACTCGTTGGCAATGTTTATTGTTTTAAAAAGCGATTATTAGAATTGTAATAAAACTATAAACATATGTAAGTGAATTTATACATTTTCTTTGTTCTTGAGAATTTACAAAAGCAATAAATTCTTTTTAATTGTTAGATTGTTTACTTACAAAAATAATTATCTATTTACAACATTCTAAGAACTAATACAATGCAATATTTATCATTTATGAATTTATTGGGTTGGTGCATATCAGGTGTTTTTGTAGGTGAGTTATTTGTTAATAAAAATTACTGTTTTATTTACTTTTTTTAATAAAAATATTATTTTATTTTCAGGTCATGTGTGTTGATAATCATACGCTTCAGAATAATCATTTAAAAATATTTTGTTGAATTCTTATGTTTCTTTTTCATAATAAATATTGTTTAAAAACGCCTGATAATTATGCACCAACCCAATATAAAAATGTAAACATTTTTTATATTCATAAATTTATTTACCAATTTACTAAAATATGTGTACCAACTATAAGGAAATCCTTATTATTTACCATTTTATAAAGTTGAAATCATTTTGCAATTAGCCAATGTTTATCAACCATTCAGATAAATGATAAATAAATAGTGTAAATAAACAATCTAATAATTAAATAGTGATTATTATGTTTTGTTGTCAATTCTCAGGAACAAATAAAATGTATAAATTCACTTTAATATGTTTAGGTTTTATTAAAATTCTAATCATCAATTTTGAAATAATAAACATTGTCAAATAGTAAAGGTAGTTAAAATAATAGGTCATTGGAAAAACTGTTCTTTTGACACTCCATCTTATTGTGGGCATGTTTATCTATGTTTGCCAAAAATTCTTTGTTAAAGATTTATTTATTTTATGATCTTATTTATTCTATGTTTTTTTGCAGACATGTTTGTCCACCTCTGTTTAAAGCTTTAGACAATATTTATTGAACAATGAAATCATGAAAAACTGGAGGGAAGTTGATAAACAACTTTCTAATAAACTGGGCCTAAGGTAAACAACTGTGTTATATTTCTTTGCAATTGCTGGGCCAAAGACAAAACTTTTTTTTCAAATATGATTGGCTGAAAATAGGAATCAGATTCCGTTGAGATGAAGAAAAAAATTATTTGATACCCAGACAAAAGATGATGCATCCTACTAAATCCAGAGTACTGATTCTGAAACTGTACTCAGAATTGTCTGAGCACATTCAGTTTTATTTTTTATTTAACATAAAATAAATAATATTTTTAGTATATTAGTACAATGCCTGGTGTCCTTCCTCCATTGCAATTCAAGGTCTTTCAGGATTCTTTACTTGCAGAAAAGTGTGCCATTGCTGTATTGTTCAGTAAAATCAATAGAGGGACCAAGTCAAGGCTGTCCTGGACAGCTGCCATATGTTTCCGAGCCAATATGAAATGTTGGTGATCAAGCCATTTGGAAATGGGTCTGTATAGATGTAGTTCAAACCACAGAAGCAAAGATGATCCGGAAGGAAGTGGAATGTTGTTGAAAGTATCACATAGAATCTTTACTCTACTGCCATTCAAAGTTTTTTCAAATGCCCTTTATTCACAAAGCCATGTTTTTCCATGTTGATCTAATTGGCCACACAAGAACCCAGCCATCATGAAGGGAACTGGTCAATTTTGTCTAAAAGGACAGTCTACAACAACATTAATATATACTATTTATTCACTAGACATCACAAAGAAGCAAGCCTTGTTTGTAATATTAACCTTTTTATAAATGATAATGGTAATATTAGACATTTCCCTATAAGGAAACATCTGACATTCGTTGACCGAGCAACCAGTACTGCTTTTAGTTGAAATTTATAAAATGTTTCTCTTAAAACACTTTTTTAGGAAAACAAGTTTCTCAAGTCCAGTAACTTTTATTGCTCTTTCCAGTATTGACAGAGGTTTCCTTCTAAAACTTCTATTTGGAGTGGTATGGAATATAGGGATATGTAGACACAGACAGTGGAATGAGAAAAATCTATCCTTGTAGATTAAATAAAGGGTTGAGTTCTAAATTCCTTGTAGGTTGCCCAGATGAACATACACCTGGTGAAGGCCGAAGAGCACAAAGGCCAATATGTGATAATGACAACAAATTAGGACATGTAAATAGTGTAGATAATAATGATAACTCCTCATCCCAGAAATTTGCTAAGTTCTATGCTAATAGTTTCTTCTCTCACACTTCTTGCTTGTGGAAATCTCTTCTGGCTTCCTGCTTTTCTGTCAATTCTGATCTTCAAAATTTTAAATGCAATGTCAGTCATCATTTTCTGTCTACTTGAATCCTGTTCTTTTATTGTCCACCCTGTTTCTTTCACACTCAATAACCCTTTGTGTCTTAATGGCTTTATTGCCTTGCTTGGGGGGAAATGATAAAAAGAAGACCTATGGACAAGAGAAATGCTTGGAAAGAAGCAATCAGAAGTGTTAATCTGAGGATGATCAGATAGAAAAATAACAATTTAACAATACAAAACTTAAATATACATGAAAGAGCAAACATGTTGAGAATTATTGTTCAAATAGAAAAGAAAAAGGTGGTATAATTCCTCCTAAGTGGCCAGCTTTTTTATCAACTCTTATCAAAGAGGATTATTGATAAATTTTAAAGTATTAAACAATAAAACAGAATTACCAATAAAGACGTGTTAAAATATTTATCTGTCATCTCACAAAAGCAAAATATGTTTAATTCAATTTTTATGGCTTATTGCATTGCAGAAAATATGTATTAGATTGTAAGAATTTTTTTTCCTAGATAATAATAGTTTAGTGATATAAGTCTTACTAATTAACCCATATCTGGGGGAAGAAGTGAATTTATACCTTTCTCAAGGATATTTGCGCATAAGTGAATATAATGAACCCAATGGGAATTGGAACTTGGCTCTCCGATTAACGATGTCTCGCCATTATCCATTACACCATCCACACACCTAAGCTTATAGCACCTGCTATACCCAAGCAGTTACCCATCTAGGTACTGACCAGACTTCACGTTGCTTAACTTCAGTGATTGTATGGGAACTGATGTTTCAAAGTGATATGGCCATAAGCCATGTTGCCCACACATCCAAGCTTAAAGCAACTGGTATTCCGAAGCAGTCATTCATCTAGGTACTGACCAGGCTTGACATTGCTTAACTTTGGTGATCTTACAGGAACCGGTTTTTCAATATGATGTATCTGTATGCCACAAGAGCAAAATAAAATGGAGAAACAGTAGACCAACAAGTTATCGCAGGTAGTTTTATGGAATAAAGGAAATGCTTCTGCTTGCAAAGAGATGGCTGTTATCTAGAAATAAATAGATTCAAGAATCTTCAAGTGGAAAGACGACTGTGTAGCACTTAGAGTATTGAGACAGTCATATGAAAAATGGTTGACAGACTGGTTTATTGATAAGAGGTTGGCCAATTGCTGTCTTGGCATCTTCATGCTATAGTCAGAGATATAATTGGTTGACTCTTGACATATATATGTGGTACAACAAAAGGCACTCCTTTCTACATTCTCCTCAACCACCGTGTCAGTCCATCATAATGTGCAGATCAGCAGATATGAGGTGCTTAAATCTTTGTTGTTTTTAATGTTTTTCTGATGGTCATGCAGCAAAAATTTTCCACATGCATAAGTTATCTCGAAGATTTTACAAACAATGAATATGTGCATATAAGTGTCTTAGCATGGAATAAGGGTTAGTGAGGCTAGTCTGGTTGACCATTACTACAGAGTAGTGAGTTTGATCCTTACTGGGTGCCCCGTACAAAATCTGACATTTCATAACTCAACAAGGGTTGACTTGTCATAAAATCAACCAACAAACAATCAACTTGAGGTTATGCATAGTAAGGCTAGTCTGGTTGACCATTACTACAGAGTAGTGAGTTTGATCCTCACTGGGTGCCCCGTACAAAATCTGACATTTCATAACCCAACAAGGGTTGACCTGTCATAAAATCAACCAATCAACAATCAGCATATTGAAATATATAAACCAATTAAACACGCAGTCATACAAAAAAGCGGAAATCACTTGGAGCAATAAGCTACATCTGTGGTTACACTGATGTAAACAAAGTGACAGCCAGCCAACTAGCGGTCAGCTCACATAGTGGATTGTATCCAGTGTTGCTACAACTCTGTCCATAGCACACAAAACTTAACAAACTGTGTTGGCTGCTCCAGATTTTGTCCATTGCTTCCGATATCCACTAAAGGGAGGTTCATAATATGAGTGTATTTAAGAAAAAATTTAAATTTAACATTCTCAGTGTGCTCTTTCCTTCATGCACGTACATAGTCACATCAATGGAAATATCACTTTAATCAGATGAAGTCCTAAAGGACAAAATGCATCACACAAAAACTTTTTACCCTTTGTTATAGTTTATTTCCTAAAAATAACGTGTTCAATTTACTGTAGGGTTGTTTGAATATTTTTTTCTTAATAAGTGAATGCAAGGATGTAAAAGTGAGTACATAAAACAGCATTTAATTCCACGAGGAATTAAACATTATTAGGATAATTAATATTGTTTTGTTTTTTTTTCTCAAGTAAATGTAAAAGGAAAAGACTTACCATAATGTTGGCGCATATGCAGGAGAGGCAAAACTATAAAGCACGCACATGTCGCACCTTTGTTTTTATACCTCTAGACAGCAGCTAATGAAAATCTTGTTGCCATTATAAAAGAAAGATCTACTCTTGTTGCCATTTTAAAAGAAAGATCTGATTATTAATACATTTTCTGTTGTTAAAATCACATCATAGAGAGAATTATGCAGAGAGGAGGCCTGTCAACAGGTTGGTGTACCTGGCAGAACAGATCTGAGACTGCAATACCTGAAGTCCGTAATGAAGCCTGGGTAACATCACTGATGACCTCTACCGTTGCATTTTATAAATGTATTTTAAGAATAATATATCCATTTTTAAAGCCCATAATAACATTTTTAAGTTAAATTGCCTTGACTTAGTAGGTTGTCATCATTTTCAGTCTTTCATTGCATTTTTCTGGGCAATGCTGGTGACTTGGCAGTGCTTAACTCCTCTCCAAGCAACATTTGATAAGTTGTATTAGGTTACATTATACCAAGGAAAAGGAAGTAATAATCTGACATATTGGAAGAAGGTCAAAGAGAACAAACATGCCCTAAGCTGAAATCTGAACTCAGTTTTCTAAGGGATTGACCAGTGTCAACTAAAGTTCAATTAGAGTTAATTAAAGATTAAGTTTGTTATTGTGAATCATAAAATATAGGATATATAAAATCTAAATAAATATATATATATCATAAATAAAATATATAATCATGGCAAACTACATTTCCTGAACAAAGAGTTCATTTTAAATGAATAAATTAAATTCATGACAATAGCTTGATAATTAAATTTAAGTACATTAAATAATATATATATATATATATATATATATATATATGGGATACTGGTATATAAATTTTTATATATCAAGAACAATTTTGGAGGCAAGATGTATGACAAAATGGAAAAAGTTTTCATGTGAGAGGTTTCAACCTTTTGGCCTTCATCAGACTAGGTTTGTTTATGTTGATATAACTACATGTACCTTAATGAGAGATACTGGAAATTTTAAATTTAGAAAAAATAATTGTTTTCTTAAATATGTGTTTTGGGTATATAATTTAAGAACCAATTCCATCTAGATTGTTTTTCTTTCAATTATCTTTGATTTCCCATATTGTGATAACAGAAGATCAGCTAAGAATGGTGAAATATTGTAAGAACCTGGACACAAATGGTGAAATATTTTAAGAACCTGGACGCAAATTTACTGTGGATGAACTAGCAATTAAAGCACTAATTAAGTGCTACTTTAATTAAAAGAGAAAACAATTCACTAAGACGAAAATGTTTAGAAAGTGCTTTAAGTGCATGTGTACTTGCATCAACACAAACAAACTTAGTCCAATGAAGTCCTAAATGGCAAAACATTTCACACAAAAACTTTTTCCACGTCATACATCTTTCTTATATATATATATATATATATATATATATATAATAATAATAATAATAATAATGTCTGATTGAATAATTTTCATTTCCCAAGTACTTTCGATCTTCTTCCAAGATCATCTTTAGGTGTGCAAGTGGTACAAAACTATATTGGGAAATGAAAATAAAAGAAATTTAAACAGCTATAGCACATTTCTCTCATCTTTTAACATCAGTACACGGAAGGTTATTCATGAGTATGAACGGAATTTGTTAAAAATTAGCAGACATGATGTCTGTAATTTATTCAATCAGACATGCCTAAAAGAGAATTTGCTGTCTAAATACACAAATATATAGATATATATTATGAAATGGACTAGGTCTAACAATTATTTTAATATATTTTCTGTTTATACGTTATTTTTATAGATACAAATATTTAAGTCAATGTTCTGTTTATAATAAACAGTATTAACAACATTTACTGGCTTGAATGTCTGAGAAATTACATAGAAAATATGTGTCCTCTGACAGGAATCAAACCTGTATTGTCTGGTTAGCAAGGTTGAATTATTACTTGCTAACCAAACACTTCCTCTGTAGCTAAATGGCATAGCACGTCAGGCTATATGATGGTTCCATGTAGGATACAGATTCAATTCCTGTTGGAGAACACATGTATTCTATGAAATTTTTTAGACATTCAGGTCGATAAATGTTGTTAATACTGTTTACTATAATCAGAGCATTTACTTAAATATTTGTATATATAAAAAATAATGTATAAACAATATATATATATATATATATATATATATAAACCAGGCATATATATATAAAAAAAATTGAATTTAAAAATTTTAAATTTCAGCTTCCCAACATCTCAGCTTTTCCTATCTATATATAATTATAAGCAACATTTCTGTTTTATATTTCCCTTCATATGCATTTATAATTACATCAACAAAAACATTACTTTAGTTCAGTGAAGTCATAAAGGATGAAATGCATCACATATAAAAAAAAACAGTTTCTCGACATCAATTTTTATTATATATATATATATATATATATATATATATATATATATATATATATATTATAAATTAATTAATTGATTTAAAATATGTTTTTTTCTCTACACAGTTCTAACCATGTTTCAAAAATGGAAGGTCCAAATTTAATTTTGTAATTAAATTAAAGACATTAGTTCCATTTCATCCTCAAGCGAATTTTGGAGTAACTTATAAAATTACTGGGTTTTAAAGTCAGCAAAAATCAAAATTTACGTTTCCAAGGAAACAGAGAAATTCATTTCAACCAGACGAGGGGTGTTTGCGTGTTCATTATGTCTGTATTTTGATGTATCAGTTTTGGTAGGGGGGTAGGGATGTATTCTTCAATGAAATCTGACATCCGTTAAATGCATGTCGTCTGTTTTTATTTTTTAATTTTATTGTTAACGGCAAAGATTCTTACGGCATTTTTTCTATTTGTATATTTAAAAATTTGAGGGGGGTATTTAGGTAAGAATATGTTTTATTTAACTACAATTTGGAAAATATTTTCACTTTTAATTTTTAATATACTATATTTCTTTTAAGAGTAAGTAAATGTATTGGAATCCCTTACAGTAAAAAAATATCTATAAGAACACCGGATTATATATCTTACTGTTCTTTCTTTTTATTTACATATACAGAAACTTAAAAGTTAATTTCATTATTTTGAAAACCTAAATTCAAATCGCATTATCCCTTGACCTGAAATTTCTTGGGACAATGAAGTTTGTTTGCCAGTCCCCTTCTCTCACACCAGTTGTATTGGGTTACATGGTAACAGTAACAGGAAGTGCCCCTTGATACAAAGTGTTGACCAATCCTCAGTTACTAAATAAGTCTAATAAATCTTTGACAGTTTTAAAAAATAGTATATAAATTGTGATAGGTTTGCCTTGTGACTAAGGTAATTGCATATTTCCTGCTGGTGTCAGGGTTTTTGTTCAAACACAAGCAAAAAAGGTTTTGATTCTGAATACTGATTTTCAAGGAAGGTAGGCAGACCTTCCCCATTTGGAAAATCATTGCACCACACACAATTTTCCTATTCTCTTCTACCCCAAAATAGCCATTTACTAAACAAATCTTAGTAAATATCTTACTTATTATAAAACAGATTGTGTGTGTGTGTGTGTGTGTGTGTGTGTGTGTGTGTGTGTCTGTACGTTTATATATTGGATCGGATTTCCTACATTTTTCAACCGATTTCAACAAAACTTCACAGGACTACGTAAAATTACCTTGCGGTGGTTCTGACAGCGCCATAAATCAACAATTGTTTTTGCACAAAATCAATTTGAAAACACGATTCTGTCGCCAGAATGAAAGGGGGACAACTCATATCGAGTTATACTTATCATAAAACCCAGGTTGTTTGTATGTGTGTGTTCGTTTATATATCGGATCGGATTTCCTACATTTTTCAACCGATTTCAACAAAACTTCACTTTTTTTTGGCAGTTAGTGTTTCTTATTGTCTTGCACACTTTTTTCTTTATTTCTACATTCAGAATGCTTTAAAAATTCCATTTACAAGACAATTGTTTATAATAAAATTCTATTCAATCGATAGACTCATAACGATTGAAAACAATGTTTTTGTTTGAGTTTAGGTTTGAATAATTCGTAAAACAAACAAAAACCAAAAAAAAAAAAACTAATTAAGACATGCATGTCCGTCAACCTTAAACAATAATCTTTGTCAATTTTATTTTTCAGTCTTTATGATTGTTGATACTTGATCTATCTCTTACTGTTACATCCCCGGGCAACGCCGGGCTCTACTGCTAGTCAGTAATAAAAAAAGGCCTGTCTTATTACTGAGACAGCTGTATATTTCTCCTGGTACCAGTAATAAGTATTCAATCCCACTGTATAAAAAGAATATTGTTGATTTGCAGGTAAGACTTCACCAATTGGAAAATCTAATACAATCTTTGCATATTTTTAGTTTACTCCATTAATAGGGATACACAGGTAACATGTTATTGTAACACAATGGGATTTGGCCCTGATTAGAACAACCACAAAGTGGGCTGAGAAAATCTATGAAGTAAGATCTTCAAAACAGCCACTTACTGACTGAAAGTAAACAGAGAAGATAAAATAATAAATGAAAACTTTTGGGAACAAGTGCTACTGAGCGTCAGACATTCTAATGGAGGGCAGGGAAGGATCTCTGTGGTGATTAATAGAGAGCAGTTTTGTTTTTGAGGCATTAAAGTTGACCAGCTAATTCCTGCCCCAGTTCACAACCGATTGGAGGTCCTTTTCGAGACGCACGGCCAGGTTAGTTTTGTCAGCGACACTAGATTTGTTTTTGAGGCAGGAGTAAATTGTGGTGTCATCCGCATAGATGCCAACTTGGGAATTTATGGACACACACATGCACACACACATATATATACGTACATGTTGACTCCTATAAGAAGCTCATTTGTCCTTTGATGGGTCTTGTCTTTGTCCTGTGGTGTGGCATTCCACCTTTCTCTCCAGAAAAAGAGCTAGTGGAGCTGGCTTAGACACAAACCAACTCCTCTGAGTGTTGACTTCAATGTTCACTTTTGTATTTTATATTTACATATGCTCTATCTCTGATATTTTATCCCATAAATATAGTATACCTTAAAACTATGTTTCTTCACACACACACACACACACACACACACGATGTCTGCATAGTGTAGCAGTTATCAGCATGCTCAGTTCAAATTCCATCTATGTTTGTTAGATTTACTTTTACACAAATACTCTTAATACTCTTTTCCCACCAGCTATGGGTTAAACAGTAGGACAAACTGGGATCTCTAGCTTTGGTCAGTAACCATTCTAAGAGAAAGACAACTCTGAATTCAACATAGTTTGGGTATGTGGCTGACAATTCTACCCTTGGTACAGAAACCACAACACCTAGTATAATGAGGCTGTGACAGGAGTGTTTGATGAAGTTATGCACACACACACCTCGCCTAAAATCAAAAAGTCACGCCTCTGCTTTCTACCATGGATTAGTGTACTATCTGCACTGTCTTTGAAAAGTATTTTTATATATATATATATATATATATATATATCATCATCATCATCATCTGTCTGCCCCATGACTATGACTGGGTATGGTCATTTGGTTGCTGCACAGCTGAATACCTGACCAGTTCACTCCAAATATCTGCATTGAAACCAAAAAAGTATTCATTTATACATAGTGTGCCTTGACTAAGTAGATTTGATGCAGCCGAGCCCTTCCAGATCAAACAAAAATGATATCCTCCAACTTGAAGGCTCACCTTGGTCACTGACACATGCTTTGGTCATTGACTTCAGCCTAGGAAACTGTCTGCCAAGCAATGCTGTGTCATCATTGTACTGGCTGCACCCATAGCCATGGAGCCCAGACTAACCTATTATGCTAGATGGCTGTTAACTCTACAAAAAGGTTTAGCAGTTTGAGAGGTTTTATTTTTAATCCTGCTGGAGGTCTAGCCACCTTCCCCACCATAAAAGCCTGGGAGGAGAATTAGTATTTTATATAAGTCCTGTAAAATTAATTTTTCATTTCTCTATTTAAAAGTACTTTATCTTTTTATACTAAAATCTTTTGGAGTTTGAAGAAAAATACTTCTTATTCAAGAAAACGTGATATCTATTAATTCTTCTTTGCATTGGTTCTTTTAAGAAGGTAGATAGGTGTGTTACTCCCACTTGGTTCACAAAGACACTGTTAGGTGGTGCTGTTAAACAGCTATAAAAATGGACACTCCTGTTTTCTCTCTTTTTTTTTCACTAGCAGGTGGTAGAAATAATACCAGCATGGAACTTGTCCTCAGCATGGAGATATCTTTTCCTGGGTAACTGAACTTTTTTACACACACAATTTCTAACTTTTAATGTCATATTTCTTTTCACTTACTTTTACATGCATACCAGTGTATTTTCTCTCCTTTGTTAATCAGTCAATTGTCATATAAAAACACAGGAAAATATCACCTTGTTGAAATTTATTCCATTCCCTTTCACCTCTACTAACAATGACGACCGGTAAGGACATTATTATTAATAAATGAAAATATAAAATAATAATAATAATAATAATAATATCATAAATAAATAAAAAACAAATAACAATAAAACTTTGTTTAAAATAAAATAAATAAAACCAAAATAATAAAAGTTCTCCCAGCATGCAACAGAAGACTTTTCCTGCCTGAAAAAGGATACTTTGCAACAAACTCATTCTCTTTGCTACCCTATACACAAGCCATCAATCTGCCACTGGATGGCATGCCAGTAGTCACTAGTGTTTACTGCTGGTGGCCCACTGTTGGACTGCTGGCATGTTCAACTCAGCAATGTTACCACTGGCAGACCACTAGAGGCCCACCAGTGGCTGCTACTGGAGGACTGCTGGCATTGCCATTGGTGGCACACAAGCAGGCCACTAGTGGCTTGCGTGTAGGGTACCAATCTCAAATGGTCAAGATGTCCATCTTCTTGGCACATTGCTTGTCATATGATAAAGTGACTTTCTTCCTCTATTACATGCAACCTTAAAACATATATAATTAAAATACACACACACACACACACACCAGTACACAAAAATAAAATTATATGAATTTAATTTACATGCTTTTAGCTCTATTTGCTTTTATGTTTTATTCCTGTGAACACGAGTCTATTCCTGCTGGTATGATGTGAGTGACCCCACAGACCTGTCATTTATGTGTAAATTTTGTTTGCTTCTGCTTTTAATCCAACTAAGGACATTCACATTATCATCCCAGCCATAACCTTTCAGCAACCTTCCTTAACCCCCAATATTCCTTGCCATATTTTGCTATGTAATTCTGTTGGCAGGAAGTGTTAGAACATGATTTTTAATTACCAATAATTTTTATTTAATTGATCATCATCAATCAATAGTAAATTATGGTCTCAGTGAGAAAACACATTAAACACTAACAAAGCAGTTACCAATTATAAACGTTTTCTTTCACCAAAGATTAAATTGTCAAATATCAATTCAATATAAGATTCAATAGTTAATAAATATTTAAATAAATTGATAGCTTTTAAGCATTTTTGAAAACATGACTAAAAATTTAATTTTCTTTTTGTTTTTAAATTTATGTTTAAAAACCAAAGTCTGTTGGCCCACTGGAAACAAATTTATAATCGTACACAATTACTTCTTTTTCTATTTATTTATTTTTTTCATTTTTATTTGTTTTTAAATTTTGTATAAACGTTTTTTACATTGAATTTCAAACTTAACGTTGTTTTGTTATACCATCATCAAAAAGCATTATTACTAGTTTTTCTTGAGATTTTTGTTTTCTTCGTTGTTTTAGCCTTGATTTATTTAGTCACTCCCTTTCGTACTTAGCCTGTCTATTTTTATTCTTTTATGTTGTTATTTTTCTTTCCTCACTTCCACCCACCTTACTGTGCGTGCAGAGCAAGCAAGCATCTGAGTCAGGTACAGAGCAGTGATGCTGGCACGATACTCTTTTGTTTTAAGGGTAAAGGACTCTGATGAAGTAAAGAACGAGAAGGAAGGAGATTAGCCAATCGGAAAGCGACTTTGCGAACCAATTGACCAATGGGCAGGCTTCAATTCGCTAACAGTTTCACTTCCAGCATGGGAGAAATATGGCAGAAATGAATACAGTTGCTGATGGGCTCGTTAAGTTCAGGGACGGAAAAAAGGTTTTGTTTATTTTTAATTTTACGTCTTGCTTTCGTTTTTTAGTCTTTATAAATTTTTTAAAAAAGTTAATAAAATGAACATATTTTTGAACTATTGATTTATTTTTGTTTTAAGTGGAAGTTAAGATGGTGTGCGGTGAGGATGCCTTCTCCAGTTGCTGGTAAGTTGTTTGTTGTTGTTGTTGATAATAATCATCAGCATCATCATCAATATTATTATTATTATTATTATTATTATTGTGTGTATAGATTATTTAGTGGGTAAAAATCAAACTGTTTCTTTATTTAAAGTTCCTTTTACCTTTTTTATTTAATAAATCTTTTTTGTTAATGCCATAAAAAACTGATTTAATTTTAATTATATCGCAAAAATTTAAAATGTGCCACTTGTGGAAAGTTTAAGTAACTATTTTTTTTTATTTAATTTATTTATGAGTATGACTATCATCACAAATACATACCTATATAAATATTATAAAGATCTCAAATATTCATTTTCTTCTCGGAATTGCTTATTTTTTAAAATTTAAATCGAATTAGGTTTTGATAAAAAATACAGAGAAAAGAAAATATTTTTTTAATATTTTATTTAATTTAAATGTCATCATTTAAAAAGGGCACCAAACGAAACCAATTAATTAATTTTATTACCAAACTTCTTTAATGTTTATATTCCAATTCATTTATTGTTTTCTGCTTATGTAAATTAAACTTTTTTCTATTTTCATTTTGAACAGAATTTTTAATCTTATCGCAAAAATAATCTTTTTACGGTCGTCATCACTTACAAACGAACTCCTAAACAAAACAACGAAATTTTAGCTAAAATCAAAATGCAGATATTTTATGTTTTTCAAATTTCTGGGTTAAAAGTAAATTTATTTGTTATTTTTCTTAAAATTCATGACTAAAAAAAAATAAGTGAATTAAACTGTTTTCTTGTTACGAAGTATTTTCGTCGATGAAGAAAAAAAAAATCTTATTCAAACCTTTCTTTTTTATTGGGATTGAGTTTAGCCCCTTTTAAAAGAGTCAAATACTCAAGTCAAATGTTTTTATAAAAAAAATCGAAGTTTGTCACAAATTTATGATAATTGACTTTTCAAAAAGATAATTATTTATAAATAATTATAATAATAAAGTAAAAAAGTTTTATTTTTACACAAAGAAAAAAATGTGATAATCAAATACCAATAAAAGCGGTCTTTTGAAAGAATTCTTTCATAATAATAATAATTATTGAATAATTATTTTTTTTTTTTTAAATATTTTTTTTTGTTAATGATTACTAAGAATGATATTGATTTTTTTAGCATTTAACTTAGGAATCTTAATAAACTTACTTAAAAATCCATTCGGTTCTGAAAGTATTCTCCAGGAATTGTTATTTTTTTTTTTTTTTATTGCAAATTTGTCAAATTAAAACGAATTTCATCACCATTTTTTACTTAACTTTATTTTATTAAAAAATAAAATAAAAAGTCACTGAATTTATTTACAAATATAAAACAAAAGTTTTGCTTATATTTTAAATTGCATTAAAAATTGTTATTCTTCTTATTTAAAAAAAAATTCTTTTAAAAGTATTTTTAAAATTATTGAAAACTTTTTTCTTCACATTTTCAAGAATGAGATATTTTGAAACTGCTTTTTTTTCACTGTTTGTTTATGAAAGGAAGAAGAAAGTCTTTAAAAATCTTTGTGTTTTTAAATGCCAAGATGAAAATTTTTATTATTTTTCTTCAAATTCTAGAAAAATATGAAGCCAAAAAATAATTGTTTACTTTTAACCATAGCATTAAGTTTTCCATTTTTTGTCAGGAAATCCGACGAATGGAAAATGATTTTTATTAAAAATATTTAGTCTCTTTCGTTTTTACTTCATCTTGCTTGAAGGATTTAGTTTGGAATTTGGCACTCGACTAAGGTTGTAGTAGTAGTAGTAGTTGTGATAATAATAATAATAATAATCCATGTGTGTATGATTTTTAATTCGGGTGTATTTTAAATTTATCAGGAAATTCTTTTTGGGGGTCTTTTGAAAAGAAATCCTTATCTTATATTTATAATTTAAAAAAAAAGTAATTTAAGTGAATGGCAAAATCGCCAGTTTGCCGCATGATAATAATAATCATCCGATCGCTGATTAATGAATTTTTTTCTTGCTTAGAAAAATAAAAACCTTCAAGTTTTTTTTTTTTTTTTTTTACAAGCATCTGCTTAAAAGCGGAAAGAAAGATGTACTTTTCACCGAAAAAAGGATTTATTACTGGTCTACAGTTTTTTTACTTTTTGTTATTAGTAAAAAAAAAAAAAATATTAAATAAAAATAATTTAATTAAACCCAAAAAAGTGATTTTTTTTAAGGAATAAAAATAAAATTAAGTTACGGAAAAAATAGTTTAAAATTCAGATTGAACCGCAGCTAAAAACTTTTTACAACATAAAAAAAGAAACATAAAAGCCGAAAAAAGTTTTGTTTTTAAATTTTTTTTGCTATTTTTATTATTATTCTATTTATTTAAAGAATTCTGAATTTATTTTTATTTACAACATTGTCGAAATATGGAAAAATACTTTTCTGTAGAAATTTTTTCCTTTAATATTTTTTATTAAAAAAATATTTTAAAATTGTACAATTTGGTCGTTTTTCTTATCTGTATTTTTGTGGAGATCAAAATGTAGAGACTTTCTTTTCAATCATCTAATTTTTTTTTTTTTTTTTCTCGAGTAAATTAAATTCATATTTGAAATGAAAAAATACAGAAAATATAAAGTAAATACAAATTCTTTTTTTTTTTTTATTATTTTAATAAAAATACAATTACTTTTTAAATATTTTTTCCATTCTAAAAGATTTTACTCGAGAAATATTCAAGTAATTGTTTTTATCAACTTAAAACAAATTAATGCAAGCATTTAAAAAAATTAATTTTTTTCTTTTAAACTTTTTGGTGAGAAATAACTGCCTTATAGATTTATTTTAATTTTACTTACTAAGTGATAGATTTTCGAAGAATAACAATAACATGCTGTCACGTTTTATAAAATAAACTAAACTAAAGTAAACATTTTCCAAATTCGTTTACTTTTTTCTTCACAAAATAATGACGCATCTTTGGTTCATTAATGACTTTTTTGACATAGATTCCCTTCAAAGTTTTTGTTTGTTTATTTATTTATTTTTTAACCTCTTAATTTGTGGATAAAGTGGTGTCAAAATATGGCATCTTTATTAATTGCATGATCATAGGGTTTTTAATAAAAAAAAAAAAATCATTATCTGTCAACTTAAATCATTGATTTTTATATTCAAATCTAAGGTCGATCAATTTTTCCTTAGTTATTCAAGAAATGACAGATAATGAATTACTGTTAGTGTTAAATATTAATTTTTTTACCAAAAATATTGTTAAAAAGGACATTCTAATTAAATTGTATAATAATAAAATGTATTTTATAAGCATATTGAAAAATATAACTGAAATTTTCTTGTATGATTGTATTTTTTTAAAGGTTTTAATGATCCCCCCCAATTATGATCCGCCTCCCCCCTCTCTACTACATCGCAATTTTCATAAGGTAGTATTCATATAAAATACAAATTCTATTGTAACTTAATTATATGAAAAAATAAATAATAGAATCTATCTAATCTAAATCAAGGCAATTCATAACTCAGGCCAGGCAACCATGCAACTGGGGTCCACGACTGGGGGCAGACCTGTGGAGACCTAAATTACTACTAAATAACAATTTCAGAGAATATATTTTAGCAAGGAACTTGTTAGTAATGTCTTATAATTAGTTAATTAGCAACTATACATAATATTAGAAAGCGGCTTACAATTATTAACTTATTTCCAAATGCAAATGTACAAAGAAAGAATAAAAATAACCTCTTCCACCATAAAATAGCTAAATGCACAAAAATCAGTTTATTTGCCATAAATTAGAGACATTTTTAGATGATATTGCAAAAATAATGAGTTAATTTGTTTATACCAATTGATTACAGAAAATGTAAAATTGTATAATACAATCAGAAAGCAATTTCAACATTTTACAAAATTGTGTATCAACAAAGTCTGAAAAATATTTCACAGAAACAACAATTCTGGTAATCTTTACAAAATTTATTGTTACATGTACAATTTGTTTCACAGAAGATGAAAAAAAAATACTTATTTCACTGTGATACAATAATAGATATTATCAGTATACATAGTTTTAATAATTAAAATCAATTTGCATTAACAAGAACAAAATTAATTAATAGGGTAATTTAGGGAATTAACCAATTAAATATATATAAAAAGAGGGGAAACTAAAAATTATCTGGTAAATATTTCTGTGAATGAATAAGTATGTACATATTTTTACTACTTGAAAAAATATGAATTTTTATTACTGATTGTGTAGTCTTAAAGAGAATTGTATAAACATTTTTATCTTATAAATAAAATTTTAAGATAATTTCAAAACTTTTATTACCATTTCTTGAGTCGTCTTACAATAATTTTTAAAAAATATTTTTGAGAATATAGTCTCGTGCTCTCTTTTCACATTGAAAGGATACATATCAGAAACTAACAAAGATTTTTGTCAAAGAAATTCTAAGTCTTCAATTTCACAACACCAAACATTATAAGACAGAAAAACGTCCATTGAACTGGTATCCGGTGGAATTTTTAAATTACCACAATCTATTTCTTTTAAAAAATGTCCATATTCTTGTAAATGAAAACTAGTATTATTAAATATTTCCACTTCTGTAGGACAATGTTTTCTTGTAACATAGCCTGCTATATACAAAAATGACATTTTAATATCAAAGTCTGGTAAGTTATCAAATGTTTGGCATCCCATTTCATCCAGCAAATGTCCACATTTTGAGCAATTTTCGCCTGGATCAAAGTTGTATTCTTTGACATCAACATTTAATTTAAGAAGTAGGTTTTTTTGTTGTTTTTTTTTTTCATTATGAAATTTTTCAATAACATTTTGAACTGTTATAAAATGTGCACCTTCAGAACTTTGTCTTAATTTTCCAAATTTCTGTGGTAAATTCACCAAGTATAACAAAACTAAACCCACTGTTTAGCAAATATCCGCAAACATCAATTAAGCCATTGCATGTATGTTCAGTGGCTAAACTAGT